AGCGCCACCCAGGGCGCCCGGCCCGCTGGAATCCCCGGCGCGGGCGGGGTGTTTGGGTGACTACCCGAAAGCAGGAGGGGAGTCTGGGAAAACGGGGGAGGGGGCGAGCTCGGGCCGACGCAGGAGTGAGGGTGGGGGGCTGCGGGGGGGCACTGCGGCTGCGGAGCCCCGAGTGGGAGGGCCCGGGAGGAGGGGGCGTGGGAGCTGGGCTGCATCTTGCCTAGCAGGTAAGATCGACCCCTGGGGCGGGGAGTTGGGGAGGTTTCCAGCCAAGGGTTTTTCTCCCAGGAAAGAGAAGCTGGATTTCAGTTTCTGGGTGATAGGCCGTGGTGAGGAGATGTGTATTTCTGCAAGGTTTTTGAGGGATGTCTGGGCCAGCCTTCCACCTTGGAATCCCCGAGTTGCCGCTGAGGAACAGCTGAACGCCCAAGGGCAGTGATTGGGGGCAGGAGGAGGGAGGGGGTGGAGAGTCATGGTCATTCCAAAACGAAAAAGGGATCCTTAGGAAGTGCCCCAAATCCTGACGCTGTGAGATTAGTTGCTGATCAACTAGGGGAAAATGTAAATATCACAGCTTCTCCCACTCCCCTCATCCAGGGGGTGATGTTCACACCCAGGCAGCCGCGGATTATCCAATGGCAAGGTAAGCACAGGCTTACTTGTGCTTACTTGCTAATCTGTAGTGAACAATTTCACATTTTTTCACCACATCAAAGATTCTGCTTCTAGGTATGGCTAGCATCTGTCTCTCTCCCAACCCCACAGCACCTTCCCACAGAATCAAAGCCTGTTTTCACATTTACAATCCGACAGGGGCCAATGACTCAGTAACAAGTACAGGCTTACTTGTGCTTACTTACTGATCTGTAGTGAACAATTTCACTTTGGTGTGGTGTGGTGGTGAAACCCAGTGAAACTGATCACTACAGATTAGTAAGTAAGCACAAGTAAACCCATGCTTACCTTGCTTATTGAAGAATCAGGCCCTACCCAGGGGTTAGGACTGGGGGCGGGGGAATGAGATGCCCCTAATCATGTTCCAGAGTCTTTGTGATTTAGAAAAAGATGTTAGGTATCTAGAGTGTTCGTAAAGCCAAAGCCCTACTGTAAAAAGATTGGTTGAAATGTTTGCCTTCCACCCAGCTTCCACACCCACTGAGGCACCTCATACATTTTTACCCTTCACCACAGGGCTAGTCGGGAGAAAACAAGGATGCTGCCAGTTCAGCTCTACAGAAAAAGGGGTACTTCGTGAGTGAACAGGTCAGCAACCCGGCTCTACCTGGAGAGCCTCTTGCACGATCACCTCGCTCCCAGGATGAGTCTCACAACAAGTCAACGCTCCCCAAAGGTTTTGTTTTGTGTTTTTAAGTTAAGCTGTCCTATAAACGCCCAGCTGGCGTTAAGAACCCTACAAAACTGACGTTTGTTATTCTGCTTACAGCTATCTTATTTTTTGCTGTCCCCGACCCCTTTAGGCTTCCCGCCCCCTTTCTACGCCAGAACCCTCCTCGGCCTCCCGCTCTCGGCACTGCGGGATGCTCGCCCCGGCAACGCTGCAGGCCCGGCGCTGGGCCTGCTCACTGGCCAGGACGCGCGGGTCCACCGGGGACAGCGCCTGGGCGTAATGCGGGGCGGGAGGGGAGGGAAGAGTTCTTGGGGAAGCTGATGATTGGTGATGCTGCCTGTCTTTCAAGCCTTGCATGGCAGGAGGGGAGATAGGGAGGGTGAGGGTACCAAGGTAGGTTGCAAAGCGTAGGAAAAAAAAAAAAAAAATTGGAAAGAACTGTATGCGACATTCAGCGGTGTGCAAAACGTGAAGGAAGGATTGGTCATCTGCAGAGGGGCTACTGCCCACCCCAGCCTGGGAATGTATTTCTCCTCTCACCTTCTTTTTCCTGCCACCATACCACCTCATCTAAATCTCTAATTTGCGCCCACACTGTTGAACTGAAAGCCCTCCCTTCTTTCCCTCTGACAGCTTGGTGATGTGGGCACACGTGCCCACTACAGCAAGGCTATAAATAGCTGATTTGGGGCATGGTAAGCAGGCGGCAATAACAACAAACGAGATTCTGAGGGTATGGAGTGCTTTACGAGGCGTAGGTGCAGGGGATGCGGAGCGTGGAAGCCTGAAGTCAGTAGGAAAGTGTTAACTGTGCGGGGACTTTACCCTTGGCAAGAAAAGAGGATGATAATAAAGGGTTGTTTACTAGTAACCTTGTAATCTAAACCCGTTGCCGTGGAGTCGAGTCGGACTCTAGTGACCCTACAGGACAGCAGAACTGCCCCCATAGGGTTTCCAAGGAGCCGCTGGTGGATGCTGGTGGATTCCAACTGCCGACGTTTTGGTTAGCAGCCGAGCTCATAACCACTGCGCCTCCAGACAAAATAGGACTTTTTACAGGATTGATCTTTGGGGGGGGGGGTGATTATTTCACATATTATAGGAAAACAATTCAAATAAATTTAATTTGCAAATATTTTAGAATCACCACAGAAAGGTTAGGATTTTGATCACATAAAACTAATTGCTATTACAAAAGGTTTTCAAAAATGTCTCTCAGTGATAAAGAATTCTGCTTTACAAAAAACTGTTTGTTCTGTAGACCTTCATCTAAAGTACAAAAAAAAAAGAATTATCTCTGTGAGATCAAACTGACAACAGCAACTCCACTTTGATGGGAAGCCTAGGGGACAGTGAGTTGAAGATAATGGTGATGGAATAATTTGGAAAAGGATAGTGAAAATAGCAGCACAACTGGAAGAATGTAATTGATGTCACTGAATCGTACATGTAGAAATTTTTGAAATGGTGTATCTTTGGCTATGTATATTTTCACCAAAAAAAAACAAAAGTCCTCCAAGGTCAAGAAGGGACAGTGTTGACATGTCATGGGGTTGTTAACCAATGTCATAAAACAATATGTGTACTATTTAATAAGAAACTATTTCTTCTGTAAACCTTCATCTAAAGTACAATAAAAAAATTTTTTAAAAAAAGAATTTTGCTTTAAAAACACAACTCAGTGGCTAAAATAGTCTATGTTGTTTTTAGGTACCTGCAAGGCAGTTCCAACTCTTAGCAACCCTATGTAAAAAAGAACGAACCACTGCCCAGTCCTGTGTCATCATTGCTATGCTTCAGTCCATCGCTGCAGCCAATGTGTCAGTCCATCTTGTTGAGGGTCTTCCTCTCTTTCACTGACCCTCTACTTTACCAAGCATGATGTCCTTCTCCAGGGACTGGTTGCTCCTGATAACACGTCCAAAGTACGTGAGGCTATGTCTCGCCATCCTGCCTTCTGAGAAGCATTCTGGCTATACTTCTTCCAGGACAGATTTGTTCGTTCTTTTGGCAGTCCATGGTACATTCAATATTCTTCGCCTATTGAAAATATTATATAGGAATCATGAAATAAACTAGATTGCTGTGACAATTCTGTTAGACTGATGTAACTAATGGGTTTCATATGGAAGATAATCGCTGATCATGGGATGTTATTGCCGTTTCTTCCTATTTGCCGATGTTTTACTACCAACATTAAAGGTGGTTAGTATTTCTTATAATTATACTACAGTAAGTTCAATTGTTCTGTACATTTTTTATTAGTGAGTTGAGATAACTCTGGAAATGCAAATCCACATTTGGTTCATACAATATACAGAATAGAAAGAGATGCTTTTGTGGAATCTAACTGAAGTAATGTTGAGCAGGTACAAGTATTATCCTGTCACCTCACACTAAATTAATATTGTGGTGTATTGTAATGAAATACACTGAAAAAAAAATCATTCCTAACTGGAAATTCACAGGAACCGAAAAGCAACCTACTGCCAAAATATATTGCTCAATGCTGCCATCTATAGGACAGTTACAGATGATTTGTGTAATAGACTAAAGTGTTTTTAAAACAGCTCTAACAATCTATCAAAACACTAAAGCAGACAATTTAAAAAAATTAGGAAAGTGACTTGTACACTTTTAAAGGGTGAATTTTATGATATGTAAATTACATCACGATTTTTTAAAAATCACACTAGAAAAAAAGGTATTTGGAAAAAGGAACAGAAAAAGCTGTGACTTATAAAAATAATGAGCCCTTTCTTGAGCAAATAAAACTTGCTTTACTTGTTGCCATCGAGTCGATTCTGACTCATAGCAACCCTATAGGACAAAGCAGAACTGCCTCATAGGGTTTCCAAGGCTGTAATCTTTACAGAGGAGCCCTGGTGGCACAGTGGTTAAAGTGCTCAGCTGCTAACCATAAGGTTGGTGGTTTGAACCCACCAGCCACTCTGTGGGAGAAAGATGGCTGTCTGCTTCCAAAAATATTTATAGCCTTGGAAACCCAATGAGGCAGTTCTGCTCTGTCCTAGAGGGTTGCCATGAGTCGGAGTGGACGTGACAGCAACGGGTTTGGTTTTCTGGTTAATCTTTACAGAAGCAGATTGCCACATCTTTCTCCTTCCGAGCGACTGGTGGGTTTGAACTCGGGACGTTTTGGTTAGCAGCCACGCACTTAACCGCTATACCACGAGGGCTCCTTACATTTGTTTTAGACTTGCAAAAAAACAAAACAAAACAAAATGCTGAGGCAAGTATGTTGATATCACCAATGCAGGTATGATTCAAGGAGTTAAAACCTCACGTGCAATGGATACACTAATATCTACAATTAGTTTTTAAATGGAAATATTGGCCTTCGTATGAAGCTATCAGGAAAACCACACAATACTTATAAACAATTACTTGCAATATCCCTGACAACAACAGTGTATCTCTAAAGTGATTTCTAGCTAT